GATAAAGATGAAATTTGGTCAGCCGATTTAATCAACATGCCAGTCGAGAGAGGGTACAAGTATTGTTTAATGGTGATCGACATATACACGAGATACGCTTGGGTCTTTCCCTTGAAAAACAAATCGGGTCTGACTGTCAAACAAGCATTCGAAACCATAATGAAACAATCCGACAGACGACCCCTAAAGTTGTGGGTTGATAAAGGAAGCGAATTCTACAACAGAAATGTGAAATCTCTGGGGTTTGAAATTTACAGCACGCATAACGAAGGTAAAGCCGTAGTGATAGAAAGATTCAACAGGACTCTTAAAAGCAAATCATTCAAGAAATTCACGGAATTGAAATCTCAAAAATGGCTTAAGATATTACCAGTTGTTGTCGACGAATACAATAACATTCGTCTATCGGTGTGACGCCAACGCAAGCCTCTAATAACCCGAATATCATAAAGTCCGTCAACACTCGAAACAACTTTGAAAACAAGATTAGCAATTTGAATGTTAAACCCAAATTCAAAGTTGGAGATCGAGTTCGTATTTTTAAATATAAATCATTGTTTCAGAAAGGTTACGTCGGCTATTGGACTAACGAGATATTCATCGTTGATAAAGTAAACAGCACATCACCTCCCACGTATGAATTGATCGATCAAGACAAAGAACAAATCATAGGAAGGTTTTATCAAAATGAACTTCAAAAAACTGACTTTTAAAAATGAATCTCGAAAATGAAGATTTAGATGAAAGGTTACGAAATTTAGATGTCGACAAGCATTTCCGCTCTCTTAAATTAAGATTTTTTAAATTTAAATGTAAATTTATCTTCAAAATATTATTGAATGTGTTTTATCAGAATGTTATACAAGTTTTTTCAAACACAAACTACGTATATATTTCGTCAATTGGGTCTTCCGCAATACTTACCGCCTACTTCGAAAAACATCTAAAAAAAATCAACTTAAAAAATGATTGCATTTCTCGATAAATACGGAAGAGACACGACCACAAACTTTCAACTTGTGAAATGGGCCAAGGAGTTGAACGTCTCGCCGTTTTATTATTGCATGCGAGATGAAATTGATGAACTGAAATACAAGAAAGGTAAATTTTACGCCATCACAAACATTCACACGTCGGATCAAAAAGGAGTTCACTCTGCTCTACACAAAGATTCTTCGAATAACTTTTATTTCTTTGATTCTTTCGGTCTAGAACCGACAGAAGAGATAACGAAATTGACTAGCAAACCAATCAAATGTTCTACGTTTCCAATTCAAATGCCAGGACAAAAGCTGTGTGGACAGTTGTCGCTTTGGGTTTTATATCGGTTGAGTATCGGGAGAAAAGTTTGAAGAAATTATAATAAATTTAAATAAATTTTAAAAATGGCAAACAAGTTTGGATTAGGGTCTTTACCTCTAGAATCTAAAAATCCCATGACGACGTTTATAAACAAAGCGAAACCTTTTTTCGTGGATCAAATCGGAGAAACCTTACAAGGGGATATCGATATGAACAATTTCAAAATAACTAATTTAAAGTTGCCAGGAAACGATAACGATGCCGTGAACAAGAAATATTTACTGGATCAAATAAACGCAATTCAAATAGATAAGGACCATGTTGAAAATAGAATAAATGACGTGAAAAGATACCTCAGACGAAATATTAAAAATCTTGTGGACGAACCCAAACTACAACAAGAGTTAACGAGTTTGAAACGTCTTATTCAAGTGGATAAAACAAGTCAGTTGCAAAATTTAATATCTAAATTAGACGAAAAGATTACGAACGTAAAAATAGACGTCCAACGTTTAATAGACAACCCAAATGTAAACGAGGATAGATTGAAACGAAAACTAACCGCTTTGGAAAGAAAACTTGGCGAATTGCTAGCAGAACTAGACAAGACCGCGGACAAAACCGAGTTACAAAATTCGATATCCAATTTGAACGAAAAGATCGCGAAGCAAAAATCAGATGTTCAAGATATAATTAACACACTTCCCATTGACAAAGATACGTTGAAACAACAGTTGACTGCTTTGGATACTAAAATCACGGACGAATTAGAAAAAGAAGTGGGTGTGATTAAAAACTTTCTTCAAAATAAATTTCGAGATGATATGAAAAATTATATTAAAGAACAGGTCAATCTTTTGGTATCTAGAATTCATGGCGATTTTTTGAGACAAGAGAGAAAGTTGACCAAATTAGAAGCTATTGTAACGGACAAATCGTATTATTTCAATCTACCATTCGAAAGTGACACTGTCTTCGATAGAAAAGACCAAATTTATAAATCAAACAAATACGGATTCAAAGAAATAAAAGTGGGTTCTCTCGTATACGGAGAACCTAAAAACGTATTCGATATCGGCGAAACGCAAGAGTTTACTTTTCAAGGTAATTGTCTGATTCAAATAGAGTTTAAAGTCAATAAAGTAGTCTTCAAACAAACCGGTAGGGCCGTCAAACATATTTCATTATTCAATGATGGTAATTTGGAAGAGAATATACGTTTGATTGATATAAGGAATCAGGAAATTGAAACGAAAAATGGTAAATATGTAGACTGCTTTAAAATGGAAGTAGAAAATGATTATATGAATAGATTTCAAATCAAAGATTTAGATATGATATTGGAGACGGAAAATCCACCATCAACCAACATTGTCAAAATTCCACAACGCTTACACGTACACGGAAAAATAGAATCGACCAGTCACGAGTTTTTACGAACAACAGACTTTGAATACGTAAAACTGTATTTCGCTTTAGGTGAAAAATACACCTCGATCGATGTTCATAAAAGTCAACAAGAAAGAGAATTTATAGTGCATTTATCGTTTGCCGAAGGCTCCATCTTTGAAGGTGGTGGTTTTATTTTTAGAGCCAAGATAAACATCGAAAAAGAAAAAATAAAATATTCCTATCATCTTAAAGAGGACCATACGAAAAAAGAAATGTCGCTAGTACGCGTAAATGTTTTTATTTTGAATACCCGCGAATATAATAATTCTAGGCCAAACAACAACGTTCTATACGATATTCCGTGGTTCTATTTATCGGAAATTCACTTAATTTAACGACTTAAAAAATGGAACTCGAAAGCAGACAACAATACATGATAGACAAACAAGAAGAGTTGAAAATAAAGTTGAGACAGTGCAATACATGCAGGAAAACATGGAGTAGAATCGATTCTTTTTTCAAAACAGCGAGCACAGTTCTAACGGTAGGAGTAACGGTGGCAACGGCCGTGACGGGTGGATTAATGCTTCCGGTCATCGTCCCAACCGTATTGGCTGCATTAACAGCCGTTCAAACGACTTCTTGCGGTCTCATCACTTTAGGTTTCACGAGCAAAAAGAAACCTCATTATAAAAAGAAAACGGATATCTTGAATATGTATCTTAATCAATTGTACATCTTTTTCGAAAGATCGAGAGAAGACAAGAACATATCAGTTGAAGAATTACAAGAATTCAATGAAATTTTGGACAAATTCCATACAGAAATATCAGCGGTCAAAATAAAGAAATAATCAAAAATAAATACTTAAAAAAATATGAATAAAATCGAACTTGCAGACGATGAAACATTGATAGAAAACGCCCTATTTTCCGATGTTATCAAGGCTATCTCTGATAAATTTAAAACATTCAAAGGACAAATTAAAATAGATGGAGAGATAGTCGAGGAAGGGAATCACAGACAATACATGTCACTCCTCGGTTTCAATGCCAAAACTTTTCACAATATCTTTTCAAATATGGACAAAAAATCCGATGCTTCCGATTGGTATTTTACAGAAAAAAACATTTTAATGAAAGACAATTTCCAAGAAATAAAAAGATCGAGAGTTGATAGAGGAGGAACTGATCTGCTTAAAAAGATCAATGAATACGAAGGCGAAAATTATTACATACCTAGAGATGGTCACTGTTTCATCAAATGCGTCAATCGTGTTTTAAACGAAGACTACACGAGAGAATTTCAAGAATACATCAACGGGTTTTCAAAAGCAAATAGAAAAGGAGTGATGACTTGTGCTAGAATGAAGGAATTCAACAAGAAATTCAACACTTCGTTTCAAATTTATAATCCCAAAAACAGACATTTTCATCCCAGAGACGTTCACGATGAATTAGATTGGGTTTTTTACTGACACAACTCGCATTTCTGTTTAATTAGAAGAAGCCAAAAAAAGTTTGGGAATTCAAGAAATAGAAGACAATTACGAACAGGTGTGGAAAACGTGTAGAGATGATAACGCAGTAACACAGGTTTCACCTCTCAAACTAAACGTGCTTTCGAGTATGAGCGATGATGCGTCATTCGCTTGGGATTGCGAAACGTATTCAGAAAGAGACACGCGAAGAGCAATTCCTTATGCCTGCACTTTAATTAATTTGGAAAAACTAAGAAAAAAGTTAGAAACGATAAAAAATATCTTTCCAAATATAAATCCTACTGATAATGTTCCAGAAGAATTTTATGATAAACTAATGAATGTAGTAGAACTATTTGTAGGTACAGATTGTATAGATCAAATGTTGAAATATTTAGGTCAATATGATAGAAAGAGAATAATATTAATTTCTCACAACGGCAGTGGATTCGACAACTGGATCGTGCTTAAAAATGCAAAAAAACTAACGCATTGCCCTTTAAAAACACCCAGAGGAATTCTATCTTTTCCTTTATCTAATCCATACACGGATGAAGATTTAGAGAAAAAATGGAAAAGACAGAAAGAAATAAAGGGTAATTTACAACATATTAATTTCACGTGTTCTTACAACACGAATCCTCTAGTTTGGCTGCATGGGGAAATTCTTCCAATCTTCCCGCGAATTTGAGAAAGATTGCCAACGTAGATATCGCTAAGTACACGCAAGACAACTGGGAGGAATTGAGACACGAATGGGAACCTTACGCCAAGAGAGACACTCTCTGTTTGGGAGCTTGTTTGATAAAATACAACCAAGTGACGAAAGAAGTTGTAAACCAGAATATGTCTTTATCTTTAAAGGGTTGGTATTATTTATATCATTACGATAAAGAAATGGTGGAAGAAGAATGGTATGAAACTACTAGAATGGTTGCGAAACATACCGAAAGAGAAAACGTAGAAAAAGTTTATTCGCACACTAATCCTTTTATAAGAAATTTTATCAGACGATCTATTAAATGAGGAAAAGTTTCGGCAAATAGAAAATCATTTAAAACGAACAAAATGGACAAAATTTGTAATGTATTAAAGGAATATACAGAACTTGAAAGTAATAACATAATTGATTTATTCAAAGAATACAGCGCAAGCACAAAAGACAAAACGGAGAATCATTCGAGACTTAAAAAAATAGAATGTACTAAACTAATGGCATTTGATGCTAACGGTTTATACGCTTCCGCCATGTCGGATTTAGACAGTGAATATCCGAGAGCGGAAAGTGGAAGACCGTTTCTACCAGAAGAAGAAACAGAATTTGTAAAACTCTTCAATAAACAAAAATTCAGACCTAGAACAGCTATTTTAACAGTGTGGTTTGACTATCCCAAAAACATGTTCTTCCAACCGATACCAGCTAAAGATAAAATCACTTTCACGAATAAAGAAGGTAAAAAGGAAACTGGTAACAAAATCAGGTTCAGAAATGGTTCTGTCACGACGTTTAA